GTTCTGATGATGATGATGATGATGATGATGATGATGATGATGATGATGATGATGATGATGGGTTCTGTCCTCAGTGAAGGAGCAGTTCTGCAGCCGGTACCACTGCGGGGCCCTGCTCGGCAGCGGCGGGTTCGGTTCGGTGTTTTCCGGTCAGAGGCTCTCAGATGGACTCCAGGTGAGCTCCACACCTGCTTCCTCCTCCCCCCTGCAGCCCACCTGGTCCTGGACTCACGGTTCTTGTTTCTGTCCCTGCAGGTCGCCATCAAGCAGATCAGCAGCGACAGAGTCCTGCAGTGGACCCGACTGGTGAGTTTCAGGTTCTGGTTCTGGGCTTTAGGACAGGCAGGTGAGCTGCGCCCCCTGCTGGGCTGTGGCGGAACTGTTCCTCTGTGGGGGGTGACGTCACGGTTCAGAGCACGGGTTTCCCCCGTGACGAATTGGAATCCCCCCCTGCAGCAGAAAACACCTGCAGCCCAGACTGAGGGCAGAAAAACCCAAAGATTTAAATCATTTCTGTGACTCAGAAACTGAAATAAACCTTTGATGGTTAAAGTGAGTCAGACCAGAGACAAGTGTTTGTTGRTGTTGTTGTTTTTGTTGTTGATGTTTATGATAAACAAATAACGGGTCGATCCCGCCCCCCTCAGCCTGGCGAGCTCAGACCCGTTCCCATGGAGATCGCTCTGCTGCAGCGGCTGTCTGAGGTCGGAGGTCACAGCGGCGTGGTGCGGATGCTGGACTGGTARGAGCTGGAGGGGCGGGGCTTCCTGCTGGTGATGGAGCGTCCGCCGCAGAGCCAGGACCTGTTCGACTTCATCACGGAGCGAGGAGCGCTCCCTGAACGCCTCGCGCTCAGGTGGGTCCTGTGCCCCAGTCTTTGCTCCGCCCCCTTCAGTTTTCTCTGTGTTAACTCCCTGTCTTAGCTCCGCCCCCTTCAGTTTTCTCTGTGTTAACTCCCTGTCTTAGCTCCGCCCCCTTCAGTCTGCTCTGTGTTAACTCCCTGTCTTAGCTCCGCCCCCTTCAGTTTTCTCTGTGTTAACTCCCTGTCTTTGCTCCGCCCCTTCCTGCAGGTTCTTCCGGCAGATCGTGGAGGCGCTGCGGTTCGTCCACGCGCACGGCGTCGTGCACAGAGACATTAAAGACGAGAACATCGTGGTGGACACCAGGACGCTGGAGGTCAAGGTCATCGACTTCGGGTCCGGAGCGCCGCTGAAGGACTCAGCGTATAACGAGTTTGAAGGTCAGCCTGTGATGATGATGAGGATGATGATGATGAAGGAAGGGGAGTGGTGGTCTAACCCTGGCTCCGCCTCCTCTGCAGGTACGCGGGTCTACAGTCCACCTGAGTGGGTCCAGAGCCGGTCCTACCACGCCGTCCCGCTCAGCGTCTGGTCTCTGGGGGTCCTGCTCTTCGACATGGTCTGCGGAGACATCCCGTTCGAACGCGACCAGGACATCATCCAGGCCACGCCCCTCTTCACCAGGCGCGTCTCTAAAGGTCAGCACAGGCTCCGCCCCCACTGAAACCTGATTGGTTAAGACTTGTGACGTTGCTGACCCCCATGTCTCCGCCCCCTCACAGATTGTCAAGCTCTGATTCGCTGGTGTCTGTCGTACCGGCCGGAGGCCCGCCCCTCGCTGGAGGACATCCTGTCTCACCCCTGGATGGAGGGAGGTGAGGAAGAGGAGGAGGAAGAGGAGGAGTCCAGCTCTCTGCCCAGCGTGTCCCTGTGAGGACCTGAACTGAGTCAGAACCAGAACTAAAGTCTGCTGCCGGCTCCGTATTTATTCATTATTTATTAGTTTCTGATCAGGTTCTGCTGCTGAGGCTCCGCCCCCTGCAGCTGAGGCTCCGCCTCCTCCTGGTTGGACTGTTTACACTGGTTCAGGTGACCTTTGACCCCCAGTAAAAAACTGAAGATGTTTGACGTTCTAAGTTCTACGTTCTTCACTCGGACCTCAGATCTGTGGCTCCGTCAGGTTCTGATCGGGTCAGGTTCTGATCGGGTCAGGACCCTGGTTGTTACCTGGGTCGTGGACCTGTATTCTACACTCAAAGTGGCCCCTGGGTCACTTGGTTCTGTTTATTTACATTAAATATAAATGATTGGATCAGAAACACAAAGATCCTCTGTTTGAATAAAAACCTGTGTTTTTGTCTTCAGGAGGTCTCACTCTGACTCGTTTTTCATTCCTCTTACTTTCTGCTGCTGACAGAAACAGATTATATAAAAAAGTGAAAATCAGATGAATATTTATTCCTCAGAGTGTTGATTTTGATTTAATTTAATAAATAAAACTGATGTTTTAACAATACAATGAATCTAAGATGAATAAATGAACTCAGTCTGTAAGATTATAATAAAGTTTATATTTAACATAATGTTTGTAAATGTAGAGCAGGAAAATCAGGATTAATTCAGNCCATAATCTGAATTTAACGTGTTTATTTTGTGATTCTACATCTTTCCTAACATTTCTTATGTGTGTGTTTAGACTTTTCTTGTTTTATAAAATCGTTGTGTTTTATTTGAACTTTAATTCATTTATAACAGATTGTTGTGTAGCAGAAACATCACTGATGTGTGTAATTGTTCGACAGAGGCAGCCCTCGTCTTGAACAAGCCCATCTTTGTTTCTAGTTTTCTTCACTTCCGGGACACCTCCGCTCCTCCTCACTGGGTCTCATCCCGATGGTCCCGGCGGCTCCTCCGGATCCTTCCTCCTCGGTCCACAGCGCTGATCCTCCCGCTTCAAGCAGAACATCGGGTCGAGGTTCGGGGTTTGGGAGCTGGATCGGAACCGTGAGCTGGGTTTAGCTGGTTCGGCGCTCGGGCAGCGGGGTGAGGAAGGTTCGGTCCGGACGGACTGAGGGAGCCAGCTCAGCATGGCCGCAGGCAGCCTCAACAAGACGGTGGAGGAGAAGACTCCGAACCGGACTCACAGTGATGGTGAGCTGGTTCCGAACCGGAACTTACATTTGTTTAAAATTCCTAACAGCTAGCTTAACGGCTACACGCAGACAGGACCAGGCTAACTAGCAGCTAACTAACACACCTGACACGACTTAACCAGGTCAGGATTGGTTAAAAGTTCAGCCGAAAAGTTAATTAGTAACTTTACTGGTTAATTAAAAAAATCTCACACATATTTAAACATTTAATTAATTTAAGAAGGTTTGAAAATAAAATTCAAACTTTTGGAATTGAAGTTCTGCGGGGCTAACAGAACTTTTAACTAGCTGTGGTGCTGCTAACCGACCCACCGCTGCTAGTTAACGAGCTGCCGGACCCAGAACCGAACCCAGCACGCCGGATTTAAGGCGGAATAAGTCCGGGTTAAGGTGGAATGATCAGGTGTTGCAGATGATGACGTGGATCTTCTTCAGGTGTGGTGGAGGTGGCAACACACACGCGTTTGTATTTCTATCCTTACTGGGACCGTTCATTGACCTCCAGTCATTTCTGAACCTGACACCTTAAACTGAACCCCCACCATGTTAGACCGGTCTTTGGTCCCCATAAGGACTACTGGTCTGACAAAGTAGGTGTGTTTACCAGAAATGGTACTAAAAGGCAACAAATACAAGTGTACAAGTACAAGTACAAGTACACACAACTCGGAC